GGATTCAGCATGTTAATACCTCGTAGCGACCTGTGTATCAATAGACGAACTGGTTCTCGTGATATGACTGTTACCTCTCTGGACTTGTATGCTGATTCTTCCGTCCGCTTAACCAGTCGGGATGCAGGCAGCGTATGGCATCAATGTAGGTCGAATATGTAGTGTACATCAGGGGAGATAGGTAGATAGGCAAAGCCTACACATATTCATTCGCCCGCGCCCTGATACCTACACTACCTACACTACGTACGGACGTATTGTACGAAGTAATACGGACTACGGATTACGTAGACAGGTATTCCGTATTTGGCACAGGAGATCAATCAACATCTGAAATTCTGCCCGGGATCATTTTTGGCGTCTTGCTTGGGTTTAGCGTGATTCGCACCGTAAAGCGCAATTGGTTAGTATTTGTTAGTTTCAGGCCGTTGAAAGCTCCCGGTTTTTTTTTTCTGGTACCTACACGTAATCTACCTTGCCTAACCTACCTATACCTATGTATCTTTCCGCAACGAGAAAAAGAGTTACCTGCTGCGTAGAAGCAGGGGCGAAATCCTCGCTGTATACTTGGTGGGTATCTAACCTGTTCGTATGGCCTTGGATAAGGCAGAAAAATACCAAGAAGAAAATGAAAACGGATGATGCAAAAGTCGTGGCAATTATGGAAGTTGGGTAGATACACATAAGCTAAGCCATACGGACTACCTACAGTACTTCTTATCCAACCTATACTACGAGCCTACATGGCCGGCTATAAGGCGGTGGGAAAGGTAGGTATGTAGGTAGTATGTAGCTACTTAGCTATCTCGCATCCCCCCCCCCCCCGGTGAGAGATGTGGGAACTTCGTTGCAATAGTGCCATTACTAACAGACTAATGTAGGTACGGAAGTAGGTAAAAGGTAGTCCTCAACTTGACTGATCTCATAAGGCGGGATAAAATTTCTTGGTCTTATTTTGAGTATATATTCAAAGGGACGGGCGCCTTCCTTTCTCTCTCTCTCTATCTCTCCCTCTGTCTCTCCCTCTCTCTCCTTTGCTTCTGCCCAACAGTGATTCATATACTTTCCCACTTCCCTCATTCTTCCTGTGAGGTGAAGAAACAGGTTTCTACGAAGAGCGCAGGTACCTACTCGCATCCGACAATATGTGGCATCATTTTACAAGCCGTCTCTTTTGCTAAATCGTTGTCTTCTGGTCATTTGTCTTTTTGTTTTCGCGCCTCTCTTTTGCCGCGCTAGGATTTTGTAACAGCCCTCGGGGATAAATTAAGACAATCAGTCCAATCACCGCAACTCGCCTCCAGCCGCCACCATTTAGGACACATGGCTGCCACTACTAGTACTACCACGGACTCGGGTCGTGGTGCAACGGATCATCGCAGTATGACAAGTTCCATGGGAACGCGGTCATCACCGAAATGGTGGAAGATCCACCTGTTCCGTGGTATGGTCAACGATATCCGCCGCCGAGCTCCCTATTACTGGAGCGATTGGATCGATGCTTGGGATTACCGTGTTATTCCTGCTACGATTTATATGTATTTTGCAAAGTATGCCGCTTCCCTTTCTCTGTTATTTATTTATTTTTCTTTCTTTTGGAAGTTGGGATTTAATTTTATTCTATTCTCTCTTACTGCCCCCCCCCCTATTTTTCTTAATTGTCCGTCTCACCTAATTTGTTGCCTCTGCTGGTACTTGTTTCTGTTCTCTCAAATGCTAGTTTATCTGTTCTATTTACGGCACAGTTAAAGATGACAAGAATGGATGGTATTTATCCTTTCTGTCTAGCGTGATGGTTCTCAAGCATATAACGCTTTTTGCATGAGTTACCAAAATCAGACTTGGTATCCCGGCGGTGGTTGAATATCTAGAGTATCTGCCTCCAAGTAAGATGTAGAAGCTGACTTGTATTTCTAGTATCCTACCCGCTCTGGCTTTCAGTCTGGATATGTTCACCAAGACACACATGCAATATGGTGTCAATGAGGTGCTGCTTGCGTCAGTCCTCGGCGCCGTAGTCTTCTCGCTTGTTGCCTGCCAACCTCTTGTTATCGTAGGAGTAACTGGTCCCATTACTGTCTTCAACTAGTAAGATTACCCTTTAAACATTCCCCGCTCTGATGAGCCCTGCCCCGGGCTACCTTCACCGGTCGGAGAGAATTTCGCCTACCTCGGACTGCGTTGAGCTAACTCAACCCTTCAGCACGGTCTATGACATCGTCACACCGTTAGGGACGAATTACCTGGCTTTCATGTGTTGGATCGGGCTCTGGGCTGTTCTTCTGCACTGGATCCTGGCCATAACCAATTCCTGCAACTGGCTCAAATACGTGACCCGATTTCCCTGCGACATCTTCGGGTTCTACGTAGCCTTCATCTACCTGCAAAAGGGGATCCAGGTGCTAGAGCGCTTCTTCGGTGCACCCTTTTATCTCTCCCTATCCGTGGCCCTGCTCGTCTTCGCCATCGCGTACATATTTGCCGAGCTAGGTAATGCGGCGCTCTTCCGACATCCCGTGCGCGTCTTTCTCAAAGATTACGGCACGCCCCTCACCGTTATTTTCTTTACTGGGTTCATACACTTGGGCCGCATGAAGACCATTGAGATCGAGAAGCTGCCGACGAGTCGCCCCTTTTTCCCTACTGCGGACCGCCCATGGCTGGTGGAGCTTTGGGACATAGAGGTCCGCGAGGTGTTTCTTGCTCTCCCTTTCGCTATCCTGCTGACAATTTTGTTCTGGTTCGACCATAATGGTACGCTACGGCAGTCCTAGCCAAATGATTTGATTTTTACAGCCGTGACTTCAACAGAAGCTGACAAGAAGCAGTTTCATCCCTCATCGCACAAGGCACGGAATTCCCTTTACGCAAGCCGGCTGGCTTTCATTGGGATATCTTCCTCCTTGGCCTCACCACCGGTGTTGCGGGCATTCTAGGCCTACCCTTCCCCAACGGTCTGATCCCGCAAGCACCGTTCCACACGGAATCCCTCTGCGTGACGGCGGTAGAAGTAGACACAGATGAGACGAATCCGGAAGCCAAGGGCCACTACACCTACAAGCGAACACACGTCGTCGAACAACGAGTATCCAACCTAGCTCAGGGGCTTCTAACTCTCGGCACGGCAACCGGGCCCTTACTCATCGTCCTACATCTCATCCCGCAAGCCGTGCTAGCAGGCCTATTCTTCATCATGGGCTTCCAGGCCCTCCAGGGGAACGGCATCACGGCCAAGCTCCTGTTCCTGTTCCGCGACAAGCGGCTCACGCCCTCGAACCACCCCCTCTACCGCGTCGAACGCCGCGGCGCCGTCTGGGCCTTCGTCATCATCGAGCTCCTCGGCTTCGCCGCCACCTTCGCCATCACGCAGACCATTGCCGCCGTGGGCTTCCCTGTCATCATCTTTGCGCTCATCCCGCTCCGCGCGCTCGTCATGCCGCACTTCTTCACGCCGCAGGAGCTTGGTATCCTCGACGCGCCCACTGCCAGCCCGTTCACCATGGAGAGCGTGGGCGGTGTCTACGGGGCGGCTGTTGCCGAGCCTGATGGCATGGGACAGCATGATAGCGCCGACTCGGGCGCCAATAGCGGTATTCTGGGCAGTATGGACGGGAAGAGTGGGGAGCGACTTGCAGAGGAGGGGAAGAGTGCACTCGCTGAGAAGTGAGGAACGCAGGGGTTTTTGAATCGTTTGGAATGGGGGATAGGGATTGATGATGATCATGATGATGATATGTACCTAAGGTAGGATGTCGCCAAACATGGCGCGTGATATTATTAATGTTAGTCGATAATGGGATGGGAAGGAATTATAGAGGCGCCGTACTCGATAGAAATATACTTGTTTGTGGCCTTGGGTGGATGATAATGAGACCTATTACCTAGAGAGAGGATGTAGGTAGGCAATGTGTTAGGAGGATGATATACCTACTACCTAGATTAATCGATCTATGCTACGCATATAGGGAAGCAATGCTTTAGACGCTGGCGCTATTGGATTTGGAAGTGAATGTCTGTTCACGATATTTCACATCACAACTACGGATTATAGCGAGCGGGATCAAAGGGGCTACCTACAATACTGCCGTAGGGCTGTTCGTGTGTGTGAACGGGGAAAGTAGTATTAGCACTCTGTTTGCATGCATGTAATAGTTTCCATGCTACGGACTATAACTCTCAGGATTCAAAAGCTTGATCGGCGAAGGTTTGGTGAAGGAGATATGTTTAGGCACATTGAAATTGCGACGCTGGCACTATTTCCCTACCTAATCATAAACCAAGCTCGTCCTCGCGCACTCCGATTCACGATCCAGATCGGATCGATTGTGTGCTTAGCGATCGACTTAGCCGATAGCTACCTACCTAAGTATGTATACCGACTTATACTTATACATTTATACAGCGAGTGATGGACGCGCCGGCTCCGCTCGATCCGACAGATGAAGACCTGAAATTTCGCTCCAATTGATCGCTTTGATTCAGATTGGGAGGTAGGTAGCGTCGATCATCTTCCCATCCCGTCCTAGGTATCTGACCCAAGTACGTAGCAAGCGATCACGGCAAATTCCATTTCAGCTTTTTTTACGCAGTGGGAAATAGTTGAACGGCTGCGTCACAATAGGTAGAAGGGGGGATGAAATCGTTATCTCTCTTATTGTTTGATCGCTGTCCGTCGCTTTCAATGCAAGCTGTTCCATCACCGCCTTTCTCGACTCACACTCCAGCACACCAATTCCGCTCGATTGGAGGAAAAAAAAAAGGTTCGCTTCGGAAGCAAGGTAAGAACGAAGTCTCATTGAGGGCATATGTTATCGTTGGAGGTGTTTCCGGATAGGCTTTGTCGCAAGACTATTCGAGCGAAAGAGAGTGTGAATGCATCGGTGCTCAGGTAATATGACATCGATCTTAGTCCGTACCAATATCGCGATGACAAGTGATGGGTGACGGCGGCGAGTCTCATACGCATGCAGTCGCTGCGATCTCCCATCAAAGAACGGCTATCTCGATTGGTCTAGTGGTCAGGATACCTGCTTGTCAATCTGTGATCTACAATGTAGATTTCGGAAATGAACAAGTCGCAGGTGGCCGGGGTTCGATTCCCCGATCGAGAGTCACTTTTTTTCGTTTGGGCCATTTAAAGATTGCAAGACAAATCCTATGAAAGTTTTAGATTTTTTTTTATAAAAAAATATATATATGTTTTGGAAAGAAATGAATTGGCAGGGAATTAGGACTGGGTTGGTTTGGCTTCAGGCGCGTACTTGTCCGGCCTAATAGTGGCTCGGTCTCAGCGGAGGGCTTGCATCCGGATGATCGCAGTACATAATGCATGAACACAGCTATAATATTTCAGTTACAGAGGGAATCTTGATGACCTCGGTACATCCCAATGAGTCTTCCCAAGACTCTGAAGAATATTGACGAAGCTGTTCGGAGCAGAGTACATCTTCATCGAGTTCTAGATCGCGCGCGTGCTGCATCTAACTGGTTCGATCACTCAACCCTCAGGGCCAGAGGCGAGGAGCAGACATACTACTGGAGATCACAATCAGGGGGTCTCATTGCTCGCAGTCAACCAACATGACATCAATTCAGCTTCTCGGCATTTTGTAGCCCTGTCTTGATCGGGTCATTTTCCACGTCACAGAGTGTTGATCATTAATGATCATGCGCTTGGCAAGCCGCCAGCTGATGAGATCCGGGGATAATCTGTAGCCAGGAATAGTTAAGCTGCGCTGCCACTTCCCGTGCGCGCCCGGTACGTATCGCCCAGTTCCTGGAGTCTTGAGGTCAAGGGTGAGTGTGAGACTGGCGGTGCTACAGATGTGTCTCGAGCCTCGTAGTTAACATGACAACCCTTGTCAATGATATATAGCCTTATAAGTTATAACTCGTATTGGAACTTCAGCTCTTACGCTATGGCAAGCTGTGAGAGAGAGTCAGTTGTTAACTCACTCCCCTTTATGAACCTTAGTCTAGCATTCTTCCGTCGTCCAAGACAACACACGTCCGCCTTGCGCGTCTGAGATCATGAGATAGTTGAGATCTTCTACCTAACTTGTACTCTTCCCCTGACTCTCTTGAGTACATGACATGTTACGTCTCTGCGAAACAACTTGGAGACTCAGTACCTGACTCGGGCCAAGACGATTGGACGAGCTGATAACTAACAGACATTATCTAAAGGTTTCGAGATCATGTAGTTTTGTTGGATCATATGTTGCTGTGGTTGACAAACGGAAAAAAAAAAGATCAAACGATTATAGAGTCGTGAAACGTGCAAAAAAAGAAACAACCTAGTTAATAATGATGGCACTTATAATCGATCCAGCTCTTGGTATAACCATCTTATATTAATATGTCCTTTATTGCTCAACGCCCAAAATCAGAGGGGTACCTATGTAAGCATGCATCCAAGTAGAATTCTGATTTTTTTTTTTCGCCGAATGCTTCAGATAGAAAGTCTGAAAAAAAAAAATACTGGAATCTCTGATCGATGACTACTCAAGCCTTCGAGTGCAGGCATCCGCTGCAATGATCTGTAGGTCGTCCAATACAGTCGGTATGATGATGATAACATTTCCTCACGGTCTACCAAGACGCACGAAGCAGAATGAAGCCGGGGAAAGAAACAGCGCCAATATTTGAATATCCCTGTGAAGCTAACACCAAATGTCTACGCATTTGTGCCATCGTGGTCATGTAGTGATACCAGAGTCCCAAGAAATGCATGATCAATAGTCAGCCCCGAAGATGCTTGCGAAGTCAGCAGAGAACCGTCATGAGATCTCCCAAACGGGTTATATACAGTTCTCACCAAGATGCGTACACGTACACCGCGGCCCGTTGTCTTGGTGACCACCGACAGCCAAGCTTCAATCTAGTACCAGGTTTCCGAGACACAATAGTGTAGATCTGTGAGCTAGGTTAGACATTTCCTCGATCCCGCAACGTAAAGATGGCGTTGAAGACCATGCGCCGAAATGGGCCTGCATAAGCAGCCCGCAAAAGCCCAAGCAAGCCCCATTTCGGGTACGGACTTGATCCCGTTACAAGACGCGCACGCGTGAAAGGGGGCCCGCGGCTCCTGACCACACAGCTCACTCGGCCGCACGGCAAGTCCCGACAGCAGCCGCCGGTCTGCTTCCGTGGCTCGAAAAAAGAGGCTTTACGCGCTGTCTCTTAAAAGGCAAGAAGCTGTGTCTTAATAAAAAATTCTTTTTTTTTACCGTACTTTATCATTCACTGGGTTTGACATTTCCCCGGGGATTGGTGCGTTTTTATTTTGGGAGGGGGCTTAAATCGCCGATAATTCCTCCAATCTTGGGCGGCGTGCGCATGCAGCGAATCATCGTCGCGCGTTGTCGCATATATATTCCGAAAACAGAGAGTGCAGTCTTGGGAGAGAGCTTCGTTGCGCTCGTGTAAGCCGTAGTAGCATCAGCAGTTGTGAGAGGCCCCAGATGCTTGAGGAGTTGTCAGTTGGAAGCGCGTGGTTGGCCCCAAGTTGCATCGCCCGATGAAGGCCCAAGGGGATGGACAGTATGAAATTGGGTCACATCCACCCAGCCAATCGTCATCGCCCGATGAAGGCCCAAGGGGATGGACAGTATGAAATTGGGTCACATCCACCCAGCCAATCGTTGAATGTTTTCCTGGGGGGGTCGATAAGTCGAGTCACTGTAGCGGGATGCTTGAAAATATTAGACGTTATTCGGAAAGTAGAGCCGAGAAATTAGAAGATCCACCGGCGATCTGATGATTCTTTTTTTTTTGTTATTTTTTTTTTTGGATGCTAGAAAGTCTAGACTCTTAAAATCCAGTACTGCAGATAACACTTGACGTGTGCCCTCCATCCATGCGCTTATTCTACAAGAAGGAAGAAAATGCATGGTAAGCTGCAGTCTAGACTAAGCAAGTAGATCAGAGATCTGAGATGGCTGGCCAGGGGCTTTAAAAGAAGTCCAGTGCTGCCTGTGTACATACACTGATGTCCATCCCGAGTAGCAACCAGCCAACCAGGGCAGTTGGTACGACTGAATGTATGCAGGCAGTAAATATAGTCGCAGACGCGCATGAAGCATCCGAGAATGCCAGAGGGAAAAAGAGGAGAAGAAAGAAAAAAAAAAGAAGAAGCACCAGAGAGAGGGGAAAATGGAAAGATCACCAATGACTCGAATTCGAGTAGCATTGGAGTAGGTATGAGAAAAGCTATGCAGCCTCATACTATAGGCTTGGTTCGGCTCCCAACGGCGACTTGCAGGAAACAACCCAAACCTTTGTTTCAATGGAATTCGCAACCATAGGCTATCAATCATCCCCATTTCCTGTACGGAATACATGTATGTACATACTTGCATGGTTAGGTACATATATGGTTGGGCTGAGCCGATCAGGGGGGTCCCGGCATTCCAAGCGTCCCCAGTATTCGTCCCCCTTGCTCAGGGTAGGTATGTACGTACATATGTCGTTGATGGCGTTTGTTTTGATCCCAACCTGGATCCGTAGTCGATGAGAAGACGAGCTCAGGTCTCCCAAGTTCGTGCGCCTGCGCCTGGAGTCTGGATACGGTGAGACATACGGTCTCGTACACACGAGACACACACATACACACACATACACGCGCACACTTATGGCTGCATGAACATCGCACCTGCAAACACGCGTCGTGAGACATGGCCACAAAAAGGCTATCTCAACGAAGTGTATCACCGTCCGATGGTGAAGACGTAGCCTGTTAGGCAAGGTACCTTACCTGTTATATTGCCGGGTGGGAGTACCAATCGTGGGCTGGACTGTGGACAAAGACACAGGTAAGCCCACGACGACCACTATTGGGCTGGCCGGCCCAAACCAGGCTCAAGCGAAAAAAAGCTTCCGAGAAGTGGCGGCGGTGCCTGAACGACATAAAGGTTGGCGGCATAATGGGTGCGGTGCGATGTCCGCTGAAGCCTACATACATATATATACATACATACTTATACATATACATAATTACAACATACATACATACATTATACATGTCTGCCTACTGGACATGCATAGCTACGTACAGTAGGCAAGTAAGTAAGCAGCGTCAACAAGCCACAGCAGCGAATCCAAGGCCTTTTGGGTCTTCATGCCCTCCCCCCCCCTTCTTCCCTCCCCCTCGAAGCGAGGTAGGTATGTGGCGAGATGGTGGGTCGAGGCCAGTCTCCGGCAGTAGAAAATGAGCGAGAGGACGAGAGCACCGTCATCCCAATCCCCATCCCCATTCCCATCCCCTCCATCACTCCATTCCCTTCCCTTCCCTTCCCTTTCCCCCCTCCAACAAGTTCTGAATGCACGTACCATCTCCTAGTCCAGATAGCAAAAAGTTTCAGAAACCCCCCCCCCCCCCCCCCCTTCCCCCCTCCCTCCCCAAAACGTCACATCGCAGCCTGTCTTCTAATCTCCACGACGTCGTACGATCCCCCAGGAACCCCTCTACCGGAAAACGGAAAATGTATTCAGTCGCCCGCCGAGAAAAACAAAGGAGGAGAGGCCAAGACCGTCCGACTTTGTTGACTGGCCAAGCTGTCTGCCGTGATATGCGACGAACTTGTTATGAGTCGGACAAGGCATGTGCCGCATGCCGTTAAAACGTAGCGAAGGAGGTTGCCCAGCGATGTATCTCGTAAAGCCTCCGACAGGGCGGCAAATGAAGGGGGGAGTATTAGCTATGTCACTGACAATAGGCGTCCCTCCACGACGGTTGCTGGGATAATATCGTTTTTTGTTTCCCCTACCTATCTACCTATCTACCTATCTATCCAGTTCTAGGGCAGCATCTAGGGATTAGGGTTGATGTGTTTCGCGTGGACTGGACTAGAATGTATCACTCGAAGAGCGGATGCAGAGGGTCCCCGAGATGTCGTACGGCGTTTGTATTGTGTTATTCAACCCCCTGAAATCCCCTACTGCGGCGTCGCACCAAAAGCACAGCAGGGAGGAGCACGAAACAGCCATCAGGAAAGCCTCTTCCCTTTTCTTGGGAATGCGACTTGCAAGAAGCGGGTCTCTTGTGCTTCCTCTCTCATACCTTGTAAATCAATCATTGTCAGCTTGGGTTTTCTCGTGGCCCAAAGCAGTC